GCGAGGCGTCACACGCGAGGCGTCACACGCGAGGCGTCACACGCGAGGCGTCACACGCGAGGCGTCACACGCGAGGCGTCACACGCGAGGCGTCACGGTGGCGACGGAGTGGGTTTCCCCCTCCCATCCTCTGCTTGTTTCGCAGGGATGGCCGCAATTCTGGAGGACTCCGATAGACATACCTCAGGTAGAGTGCTGGGGAGGGGTTCGGGGTCGTCCATCTTTGGAGGAATGGCGAGTTTGAAGCATCCACTTCAGGGGGGACCTTGGCTGAAAGCCGTATTTGAGTTGAGAATATCTTGGCTGACACTTGGTACGCGTCAAGCTCTGAACAGAACGCCCGCATTCTTGATAAAATCAAATATAGTCATAGAAGGTAAGAATCCTATGTGCTTCAATCCACTAAACCGCCATGGTTACGCCATCAACCGCATCTCCAAGTGGCCGTCTCTCAGGGCCTAGGAAGATCAGTTTCTTCTTCTTGAAGAGTCGTTCAAACAACTTGGTCTCAATTGTGTAATTCGGCACCTTGGCGTGAATCTTTGAGCCGTGTAATTCGTCCAGGGTGGGCGTGCAGTCGGCACTGCGGGGGGGTGGGGGGTGCTCGGAGATACTAGACGACGAGTGGCCCGAAAGCATTTTTCATCACGTAGGAAGTCAGAGTGCGAGTTATCTGTTAAGTGTGTTATAAGTGTTCAGTGTGAAGTGTTAAGTCGAGTGTGTTGAGGCAGTGTGTGGGTCTCTGTGTGTGTGTATGTGTCTCTCTCTGTATCTCTTTCTGAAGCGCAGGAACACCTGTTTTCTGCAAGTTCTTCACCTCTCGAAAGTCGCCTCCGCGTAGTAAAGTTGTACTACAAAGTCGCCAGTTCTCATCTTCCAGCTCCACAGATTGCTCCGTGTACTAAAGTTCTACTACCAAGTCGCCAGTTCTCATCTTCCAGCTCCCCGGATACTCCGCGTACTAATGTTGTACTACCAAGTCACCAGTTCTCATCTTCCCACTCCCCAGATACTCCGCGTACTAAAGTTGTACTACCAAGTCGCCAGTTCTCATCTT